AGACTCGCTTGAGCCCAGGAGTTGGAGGTTGCTGTGAGCGTGATGCCATGGCACTCTACCCAGGGGGATAGCTTGAGGCTCCATCTCAAAAAAAAAAAAAGAAAAAAGAAAAAGAAATACTAGGTGCTTAAAAAATGTTAAATAAATAAGGGAATAAAGAAAAATAAAGGCTGAGAAACTATATATATATATATTTTGTTTGTTCGTTTGTTTTGGTTTTTTTCAGACAGTGTCTCACTTTACTGGTGGAATTCCACTGCAGTAGTGTGATCATAGCTCATTGCAACCTCAAACTCCTGGTCTCAAGTGATTCCCCCAACCTCAGCCTCCCAAATAGCTGGGACTGTGGGCAGGCACCACGAGGGCCAGCCAGAAGCAGTGTATCTTGAAAATGATATCATTACACGATGCTAAGTGTGTTGAAGTCAAAGCAAATTTGATTAAAAGCAGCAAGTGTATATAATCATTTAGCTCAAACCACCCAATAGCTGATAAACTTGTAACTCATTGTTTTTCTCCAAACATAACCCTAATTAAAATGGCTGTAGGTGTTGTTTTAGAATAATATGCAGGGGTCCTCGAACTTTTTAAACAGGGTGCTGGTTCACTGTCCCTCAGACTGTTGGAGGGCTGGATTGCAGGCCCCGGACGAGTCAGCTGCTAAGCAGAACAGGCAGGGGGTGACAAAAACACCCGGAAGGCCAGATAAATGTCCTAGGCAGGCCGCATGTGGCCCGCAGGCCGTGGGTTTAGGACGCCTGATTATACAGGGTGTTGGACAGCATTTGTGGTTCAGTGAGTAGGGCACCAGCCCCATATACCAAGTGTAGCGGGTTCAAACCCAGCCCTGGCCAAACTGCAACACAAAAATAGCCAGGCCTTGTGGCAGCACGTGTAGTCCCAGCTAGTTGGGAGGCTGAGGCAAAAGAATCAACTAAGCCCAAGAGCTGGAGGTTGCTGTGAGCTGTAATGTCAAGGCACTCTACTGAGGGTGATGAAGTGAGACTCTGTCTCTTAAAAAAAAGAAGAATATACAGAGTGGCCATAAAGTTCGTGTGCAATATTCAACTATTTTATTAAATCTACAGTTCAGTAATATTATATATATTTGCATTGTTGTGAAACAGATTTGCAGAACTTTTTCCTCTTGCAAACCTGAAACTCGATAACCATTAAACAGCTCTTCTTTCCCTCCTCTCCCCAACCCATTAGCTACCATTCTATTTCTACAAATTTGACTACTTGAGATACTTGATTTAAGTGAATCATACAGTCTTTCCGTTTTTATAACTAGCTTATTTCACTTAGCATAATTTTCTCAAAATCATTCCATGTTGTAGCAGCTGACAGGATTTTCTTTTTAAGGCTTAATAATATTTCATCATGGCATATGCCATATTTTGTTTATCCATTCATCTGTTACAGATATTTGGGTTGCTTCCAGTTAGCTGTTATGAATAGTGCAGCTTTGAATGTGGTTGTGCAAATATAAGTCTGGCTATTTTTACCTTAATTTATAGTTTTTTGTTTGTTTGTTGTTTGTTTGTTTATTTAAGACCCAGGCTAGAATACAACAGTGTCATTATAGCTCACTATAAGGTCAAACTCCTGAGTGCAAGTGATTCTTCTATGTTGGCCTATAGGTATGCACTACTGTGCCCAGTCCTTTTTGAAGGGGGGGGCGGGGAAACAGAGTCTCAAGCTATTGTCCTGGGTAGAGTGCTGTGACATCATAGCTCACAGCAGCCTCCAACTCCTAGGCTCAAGTGATCCTCTTGCTGCAGGGTTTTTGGGTTTTTTTGGTTTTTTTGAGACAGAGTCTCACTTTGTCATCCTTGGTAGAGTGCTATGGCATCACAGCTCACGGCAACGTCCTGCTTTTGGGCTTAGGCAATTCTCTTGCCTGAGCCTCCCGAGTAGCTGGGACTATAGGCACCCGCCACAATGCCTGGCTATTTTTTGTTGTTGCAGTTTGGCTGGGGCACGTTCAAACCCACCACCTTTGGTATATGGGGCCGGTGCCCTACTCACTGAGCTACAGACACCGCCCCCACTCAGTTTTTCTATTTTCAGTAGAGACAGCGTCTTGCTTTTGCCCAGGCTGGTCTCGAGCTGGTGAGCTCAAACAGTCCATCTGCCTTGGCCTCCCAGAGTGCTAGAATTAGAGGCATGGCCACCATGCCCGGCCTTTTTTCACTTTTTGGACTCTTGCTGTGTTACCCAGGCTATTGTTTAATTCCAGGCCTCAAGTAATCTTTCCCCCTTGGCCTCCCAAAGTGCTGGGATTATAAACAAAAGCCATCACACCTTGCCAGTTTTACAGTATCTTTTTTTTGCAGTTTTTGGCCTGGGCTGGGTTTGAACCCACCATCTCCAGCATATGGGGCCAGCGCCTAGTCCTTTGAGCCATAGGTGCTGCCCAGTTTTGTAGTATCTTTATGATACGTGGTTATATTAAATGCTCTATCTCCATTGGGAAAAAGTCATTTCATGAATAATGATATAGTCTGGACCTACGTATCTTAATACATTTCTATCTCCTAATGCTGCAAATGTTTCAGAAGTTTGTACAGTGGGTTTAATTAGGTAAAAGGAATAAAATAGGTTATAAATTATACTTTAAAAATTCCATAATATGCAAGCAACTCAAAAACAAAAAGCAAATAACCTATCCAGTTTTCCATCTTAAAATGTACAAAAGCAAATTATGTAACCAAAACATGTACCCCAATAATATTCTTAAATGTTTTTTAAAAATCTATAGTTTTTCAAATGTGTAACATCACCAACTGTCACTAAGGACTCATCTTATTCTGACATGCTTAATCCAGCTATGGAGCAAATGTCTACAATCCTGCTAAAAACATAATCTTAGTATAATATTAAACAAGTGTTATCTAAAAAACTATGATCAACCAAAACACACAGTGTTGTGTTCAAATGTTATATGAACATAACGTGTCCGAAGAGCCAATTTAGTGATTCCTCTTGGTCGATTTCTTTTTCTGTACCTTCTTGTGCTTCTTCTTTTTCCTTTTACCACCTTCTTTGAATCCTGAGAAAATAAAAGGATCCCGTGTGCTGGTGACCCAACATATACCTTGTCCATCATTGTCCACAAAAGTATATTGAGATACATGTTTGGGGCCATAGCGATTTGGTGAATGATTGTTGTATGACTGTGCTCTCCAGCTGCACCCTTCTACAAAGCCGTCTTCATCTGCCAGACTATTTACAAGGAAGGATTTCAACTCTCCGTCATCTTCAACTTCTCTATCTTGATCATTCTCAAAAATTTTCTTTGTGTTAATATTTGCGTCATTGACAAATTTGTCAGATATGTAGTTGCCCATGACACTATAATCAAACACCAGGGAAGAGAATGAAGTAAGGCTTTCATGCCCCCGTGAACCACATGATCTGTGTCCTGTATTGCATGAAGAAAATTGCCCGAAAATTGGATGTTCAGTGGAGGTAGAGAAAAAGGACCCTGCACCTCTGCTTCTGCTTTCATAGGAGCTTCCTGGACTATTTAAAACATCCTCAAGTGAGTCTTGAAAGAAGTGAAATGAAAATGGGTCACTTTTACCAAAAATTTTTTCAAAGATATCATCTCGCTTCTGAAATGTGCAGCCATACTCACATTCATCATCAGAATGACTTCCACCTCCATCATTTAATCCTTCTTTGCCATATTTATCATAAATGTTCCGTTTTTCATCATTTGATAATACCTCATATGCCTCAGCTACTTCTTTGAATTTTCTCTCCGCTGCTTCTTTGTTTTCTGGATTTTTATCAGGGTGCCATTTGAGTGCCACTTTATGATAAGCTTTCTTAATGTCCTCAGGTGACGCATATCTCTGCACTCCTAGAACTTCATAGTAATCCACCATGTTTTATCAGATTACTGGAAACAGGTGCACTTGGTAGTGAGCACTGTGATTTCCTTTTGGCTCACGTTCAGGTGGTGATAGAGACAGTGACTACATATAATAGGCACATTTTTATACTGAAGACTATTTTTACAATGAGCCACCGCTAGGAGACTTTAGAATCCTGATTATGTGGCAGGCAAAGTTACAAGTATATGTCAGAGCCACATTATGGTGTCATTCTGAGGTAGAGGTAGGGACTGGACCTCCCAAATGAATCTGGTCAAAGGTCATACCAAACCATCCTGAACTCTCTGGACTATTTCCCTCTATTTCCCTGGAAGTCTTAGTACACTGCTTCTCAACCTGTGGATTGCGACCCCTTCGTAACAATGAAAATACACCCTTCATATCAGATATTTACATTATGATTCATAACAATAGCAAAATTACAATTATGAAGTAGCAACAAAAATAATTTTATGTTTGGGGGTCACCACCACAACATGAGGAACTGTATTATAGGGTCACAGTATTAGGAGGCATTAGGAAGGTTGAGAACCACTGCTTTAGTTTCTCATGAAACACTGGGCCCTATTGCTAATACCCCTTGTATAATAAAATGATCTAAAAAGGCCAAACGCAGTGGCTCATGCCTGTAATCCTAGTGCTCTGGGAGGCCAAGGCAGATGGATTGCCTGAGTTTAAAAACAGTTCAAAAACAGCCTGAGCCAGAGCAAGACCCTATCTCTAAAAATAGCCAGGCATTGTGGCAGGTGCCTATACGTCCCAGCTACTTCGGAGGCTGAGGCAAGAGAATCACTTGAACCTAACAGTATGAGGTTACTGTGAAGTGTGACACCACAGCACTCTAACAAGGGTGACAAAGTGAGACTGTCTCCAAAAGAATAATAAAAACTAATAATATGATCTGTAGGTTATTGAACCTCAATTTCTCTATTTCCCCAGAACCCTTAGTACTGGGACCAATTGCTAATAGCCACCCTTGCATAATAATGTGACCTGTAGGTTACTGAACCTTAATTACTTTCCAGTTCTATCATGTTACAGAAAAATGAAGAATTAGTGAACTTACGTGAAAAAGTATTCAAGTGATTGATGTATTTGTTCATTTCAGTAAAGAGACAAAGTTAAGTAGGAGATAAAAACAAGTGCATAAATTACAGTATGATAAGGGACACGATGGGGAAGAGCACTGAATGCTAAGCAGTCCTGTGAGAGTCAGCCTAGACTAGAGCTGGAGGAAGTGGCCTGCGTGCCAGTGGTGAGGCCTTTGAGATGATATCATCTTTGCCCACCTAAAGTTTACTACTATAAACATATAGTTAGAAATTTCTTAAATTGTACATTTATGTATTCATTATATAATTATTCAATGCCTACTTTGTGCCAGGTACAGTATTAGCTGCTGGTGGTAACAGTATTGTATATGCATATATAAAAACATAATTTTTGTAGTGCTTGTGTTAGAGTACAAATAAGTAAAACAATAAACTTGATGTAATGTGCTATGTCCTCAAAAAATATAATAGGCAGAGAGCTACTATAAACGGGTTTTATTTTTATTTATTTGAGACACTGTGTTGCCCTTGGTAGAGTGCTGTGGTGTCACAGCTCACAGCAACTTGCAACTCTTGGACTTAAGGGATTCTCTTGCCTTAGCCGCCCAAGTAGCTGGGACTATATGCACCTGCCACAACACCCGGCTATTTTTTGGTTGTAGTTGTCATTTTTTTTTTTTTTTTTTTTTGAGACAGAGCCTCAAGCTGTAGCCCTGGGTAGAGTACTATGGCATCACAGCTCACAGCAACCTCCAACTCCTGGGCTTAAGGTATTCTCTTGCCTCTGCCTCCCCAAGTAGCTGGGACTACAGGCGTCCGCCACAATGCCTGGCTGTTTTTTTTTTTTTTTTTTTGGACTGCAGCTGTCGTTGTTTGGCAGGCTCGGGCTGGATTCGAACCCGCCAGCTCTGGTGTATGTGGCTGGCGCCTTAGCCGCTTCAGCTACAGGCGCTGAGCCAGTTGTCAGTTTTGTTTGGCAGGCTTGGTCTGGGTTCAAACTCACCAGCCTTGGTGTATGTGGCTGGTGTCCTTGGCGCTGAGCCTCTGAATAGGTTTTAAAAGGCTTGTAAGATGATCTTAAAGCTGAGGCCTAAAAGACAAAGAGCTAATAATGACCTAATATGGTAGCCATGTTGAGGATGTTTCACCTGATTCTAGTTTGGGGCTATTAGCAATAACAGCGGAAGGCCATGGTTGGTTAAGGGTGGAGACAAGGTATGCAGGTTAGTGATCTAATTTACACTTTCAGTGGTTTAGTGGCTGCTGTTTGGAGATTTGCTAAAACCTGACTTGTAGGAACATATGACAAGGTAGAATTAAAGTACCCAGTTAAAAAGCAAATTAGACCAAAGTTGATTTTCTTTCTTTAGGGATAATTTAAATTATCAGCAGGCTAGATCTGAATTAAAAAGACATACTCTAAACCTGGTTCATTTCATTGCTCTAGAAAATTTCCTATAGTGGTCTGTCTTTGCTTTTCCTTCTCTATGTAACATTTAATTTCTCTTACATTTTTAAACCTCTCAGAAATGATACTCTAATAAAATGTAAAACTAGTATATTTTTAGACAGTCTTTCAAAACCATTAACCAGGTCTAAATGTTTTTTGCTTTGTGTTCGTTTTGTTGTGACATACTAGTTGAGAGGTATTGTGAGATATTTAACACTTTTCAATTAAAATTCTTTGCAGTATATGTGCTTAAATGTATTTATATGTGGCATACCTATGATTATAATTTGTCTGCCTTTGGAAATAATAATAGTGAATGTTATTTGAGCACCCTCTGAGTCACACTGTACCAAGAGATTTATATACTGTTTGCCATTTAATTGTGATAGCATTCTAGCAAAATGAATGTTTTGTGCCCTTCAGAAAACGGAGGGGTTTTTTTTTTGTTTGTTTGAGACAGAATCTCATTTTATCGCCCTTCGTAGAGTGCTATGGCATCACAGCTCACAGCAACCTCCAACTCCTGGACTTGGGTGATTCTCTTGCTTCAGCCTCCCAAGTAGCTCCAACTATAGGTGCCTGCCACAACACCCGAGTATTTTTTTGTTGCAGTTTGGCCAGGGCTGGATTTGAACCCACCACCCTCAGTATATGGGGCCGGTGTCCTACCCACTGAGCCACAGATGCTGGCAGTTACTTGGCAGGCTGAGGCAAGAGAATCACCTAAGCTCAGGAGCTGGAGGTTGCTGTGAGCTGTGATACCACAGTACTCTACCAAGGGTGACAAAGTAAGACTCTCTCTAAAAAAAATAGCCAGGCATTGTGGCAGGCACCTGTAGTCCCAGCTACTTGGGAGGCTGAGGCAAGAGAATCACTTAAGCCCAAGAGTTGGAGGTTGCTATGACGCCACAGCCCTCAGAGAGTGACATAGTAAAGCTCTGTCTCCAGGCTCTGCACCTGTGGCTCAAGTGGCTAAGGCGCCAGCCACATACACCTGAGCTGGTGGGTTCGAATCCAGCCTAGACCCACTAAACAACAATGACGGTTGCAACCAAAAAATAGTGGGTCATTGTGGTGGGCACCTGTGGTCCTAGCTACTTGGGAGGCTGAGGCAGGAGACTTGCTTGAGCCCAGGAGTTGGAGGTTGCTGTGAGCTGTGATGCTACAGCACTCTACCCAGGGGGCAGCTTGAGGCTCTGTCTCAAAAAAAATACATTAATTAAAAAAAAAAAAAGACTCTGTCTCCAAAAAAACCCACAAAACTTTGTGTGTGAATCCACCCCTGCATTCACTGTGTAGTATTATAATGCTCTCTTTTGTCTCACCACCAATAGCCTGCATGTTCTTTTAGGAGCGGAGCAAATAGTCTTGTCATTCTTACGTTTTTCATAGCACATGTTCCCATCAAGTGCTCAATAAATTATTGTTGAATAAATGCTAATAATAGTAACATTTGTGGTACAGCATTTTTCACACATTATTTTAACTGACGATCATTACAACATTCATGAGAACATACAGGTATTTTCTCATAGTTATCATATTCTCAGTAAAAACTTTCATTATCTTTTCATGAATTTTAGGCCACAGCCTCACTTTACCTCTGTGAAATCTTTCCAGGTCCCTCCCTACTTCTGCTTGTTCCCTTCTTTCTGTTTTCATAGTTCCTTATTCATAACTTTATTTTATGTGTATATCTCTCTTTTATACCATAGCAGACAGAAGTCTCCCAGGGTAAAGATAATGTCATTTCTGTTCTATTAGGGCCCACCACAAGCTCTGGCATGGAATAAGAGCCACATAAATGTAGGTGAGAAATACTAACTTGTGTTGTTCTAAAGCATCCAAACTGCTGGAGCTATATAAATATATTTATAGCGTGAAGACTTTCTGGAACTGTTGTTCCATTTCATCCTCTTTATTCTTCATTCAGGATGCATATTGTGTTTTCAACGAAGGTATTCCCTCCAGCCTGTCCCGGAGAGGAGGATTCCAAACAGATACCTAGGCCAGCCCAGCCCCTTTACACACCCACACCTTCTTAGACCAGGTAAGTCCTTTTAACTAGAATAAGTGTCTCTCTGTTTAAGTACTCTGTCTAGCACAGTGGTGTTAAATATAATTTTTTACAGTATAATGGAAATATATTAGATCTGTGCTGCTTAGTAAGGTAGCCACTAGCCTCATGTAGCTGCAGTACACTTACAATGTTGCTAATGCAACCAGGCAACTGAATTTTTACTGTATTTAATTTTAATTAATTTAAATTTAAAAACTGCCAGGCACGGTATCACGTATAATCCCAGCATTTTTTTTTTTTTTTTT